TAGGATGACAATTATAAAAAAGACAAAAAGAAATGGCAAATTCTAGTAAGGATGTGGAGAAAAAGGAACTCTTATACACTGTTGGTGGGAATGTAAAATAGTACCACCACTATGGAGAACAGTGTGGAGGTTCCTCCAAAAAACTATAAGTAGAACTACCATATGCTCTAGCAATCCCACTACTGGGCATTTATCCAAAGGAAAGGAAATAAGTATATCTAAGAGACATCTGCATCCCCCATGTTAATCGCAGCCCTATTCACAATAACTAAGGTATGGAATCAACCTAAGTGTCCATCAATGAACGAATGGATAAAGAAAATGCAATATATATATACACAATGAAATACCATTTGGCCATAAAAAGAATGAAATCACAGCAACATGGATGGAACTGGAGGGCATTATGTTAAGTGAAATAAGCCAGGAATAGAAAGTTAAATATTGCACGTTCTCATTCATATGTGGAAGCTAAAAAAAAGTTGATCACTTTGTTGAATTAAAAAGTGGAACACAGCATACTAGAGACTGGGAAAGGCAGAGGAAAGGGGAGGATAGAGGGACATTGGTGAAAGGATACAAAATTACAGCTAGATAGGAGGTATAAATTCTATGTTCTATACCTGCAGTCTCAAATCCCTGGGCTGCAGACTAGTACCAGTCCAGGGTTTGTTAGGAACTGGGCTGCACAGCAGGAGTTGAGTGGTGGGCCAGTGAGTGAAGCTCCATCTGTATTTACAGCTGCTCCCCATTGCTCACATCACCACCTGAGCTCCACCTCCTAGCCCTGGGAGTGGCTGCAAATACAGATTATCATTAGCAGAGAGGTTTGACTGCACAAAGACCATAATAAATCAATTGCTTGCAGACTCATAGCAAAATCCTATCAGTGAGTGGAATGTAACAATATAATAATAATAGAAATAAGGTGGCAATAAATGTAATACACTTGAATCATCCCAAAACCATCACCACCACCCTCAGTCCATGGAAAAATTATCTTCCATGAAACCAGTCCCTGCTGCCAAAATGGTTGGGACCACTATTCTATACCACTGTAGGATGACTATAATTATCAATAATATATGGTTTCAAATAGCTAAAAAGATAATATTGAATTTTCCCAACACAAAGAAACAATAAATACTTGAGATGATGGATATGCTAATTATCCTAATCTCATCACTATACATTATATATACTGAAACATCACTATGTACTCCACAAACATGTACAACTATTTTATGTCAATAAAATTAAACTAAATTAAACTTTTTAAAATAAAAATAAAAAAATAAAAAGTATGCTGATCAGGAAGGAAGAAATAAAACTATCTTTGTTTGCAGATGACATGATTATCTATACAGAAAATGCCAAAAAAAAAATCAACAAAAAAACTCCTAGGTAAAAGGCCCAGAATAGCCAACACAATATTGAAGGGAAAGAACAGGGTTGGAGGTAGAGATGACACCACCTAATTTCAAGGCTTACTATACAGCTACAGTAATCAAGACAGTATGATAATGGCAAAAAAAAAAAATCAACAAATAGATGAATGGAACAGAATAGAGAACCCAAAAGTAGCTCCACATAAACATAATCAACTTGTTTTTGACAAAGAAACAAAGGCAATACAATGGAAAAAAAGATGATCTTTTCAACAAATGATGCTAGAATAAGTGGTCATCTATGTGCAAAATAATGAATCTAGGCACTGACCTGCTTTTCACAAAAATTAACTCAAAAGGGATCACAGACCTAAATGTAAAATGCAAAACTTTAAAGTCGTAGAAGATAATGTAGGATAAAATCTAGATGACCTTTGGTTTGGCAATGACTTTTTATTAATATATATGACACCAAAAGTGTAATCTATAATAGCTGAAAGAAATAATTGATGTTGGACTTCATTAAAATTTTAAATTTTTACTTTGTTAAAGACACTGTCAAAAGAAAAGCCACAGAGTAGGAGATAATATTCACAAAAGACATATCTGATAAAGAACTTTTGTTCAAATACACAATGAACTATTGAAACAACAATGAAGAAACAAACAACCTGATTTAAAAATGGGCCGAAAACCTTAACAGACACCTCACTAAATAATATATAAAGATGGCAAGCATATTAAAAGCATATCAAGCATATGAAAAGACGTTCCATAACATATATCATCAGGCAAATGCAAATAAAAACAACAATGCGATCCCACTACACATCTATTGGAATGTCTAAAATCCAAAACATGGACACCAAATGCTAATGAGAATGTGGAGCAATAGGAGCTCTCATTCACTGCTGGTGGGAATGAAAAATGGTACTGCCACTTCGGCAGTTTCTCACAAACCTTAACATACTCTTACTATACAATCCGGTAATTGCATTCTTCAGTATTTACCCAAAGGAGTTGAACACATGTCTACACAAAAACTTGCACATGAATATTTATAGCAACTTTATTCATAATTACCAAAGCTTGGAAGCAACCAAAACATCCTCCAGTGGGCGAACGGATAAAAAAACTGTGGTGCATCCCGACAATTGGAATATTATTTGACATCAAAAACAAATGAGCCATCAAGACAAGAAAAGACAAGGAAGAACCTTAAATGCATATTACTAAGTGAAGAAAGTCAGTTGGAAAAAGCTGCATACTGTATGATTCCAACTATATGACAATCTAGAAAAGGTAAAAATACTAAAAATTGAATAAAACAACATGCAGTCAAAATCATTTATAAAGAGAATCAAATCAGTCAAAACTATTAGTAAAGAGAAAATCTTCAAAGCATTGAGGGAAAAGTGAGACATTACATAGAGAGAAACAAAGATAAGGAAGACAGAAGATTTCCCATCAGAAACAATACAAGCGAGAAGACAACAGAGCAGTATCTTTAAAGTGCTAAAGAAAACCTGTCACTCTATCATTTTATATTCATGGAATGTATCCGTCAAAAACAAACAAAAAAATAACTGAAATAATTCATCACCTGCAGACTCACACTATAAAATATGGTAAGGAAAATTCTTCAGGTAGAAGAAAAATAATACCAAATGAAACTATGAATCTAAACAAAGGAAATAAGACATGAAAAATGTCTATTTGGGTAAATATATGTTTTTTCTTATAATTTAAATCTTTTTACAACAGAAATAATGACAATATAGTATGCATCTTATAACATATGTAAAAGTATAATAAATTGCATGACAACAAATATTATATAAAGGTCAGGAAAGAAAAAAAGTAAATATACTATAGCAAATTTTATATAATGTACATGAAATGGGACAATATCACTTGAAGGTGGACTATGATAAATTAAACATGTTTTCTATAACCCCTAAAGCAACCACTGAAATAATAAAACATCATTATAGAATTATAGCTAATAAATCAATAAAGAAGGAAAAAATTGGATCATAAAAAATAATCCAAAAGAAAGCAGAAAAAGAGGAAAGGAGAACAAAAATAGCTGGGATTAATAGAAAGCAAATAGCAACATAGACTTAAGCCTAATCATATCAATAATCATATTAAATATAAATGGTCTAAACATCCCAATTAAAAGGCAGAATTTGTCAGACTAGATTTTAAAAAGCAAAACACAACTACTTGCTGCCTGTAAGAAACACATTACAGGCGGCTCATGTCTGTAATCCAGCACATTGGGAGGCCGGCCAAGGTAGGATGATTGCTTGAGACCAGGAGCTTGAGATCAGCTTAAGCAACAGGAATTGGAGACCAGCCTGGGCCACATTTTAAGACCCCATCTCTAAAAGAAAAAGAAATCACATTTAAATGTGTAAACATAAATAGGATAAAAGTGAAAGGATGGAAAATTATATATTATGTTAACATTAATTTTTTAAAAAAGCTACATGACTATGTAGTATCACAAACAAGCAGATAAGTGAAAAGGTAAGAACAGATAAGACACTAGTTTGCAGGAATCAATTTTGATGGTTCATTTTTTTAAATAAATAGATATACAATCAGAAATTTCTACATTCCTGTGTATTCTTTTCTTGATCCTTATTCATTCCATCTTTTCTGCATGAACAAATATTATCAAGTATTGTTTATTGCTATTTAAAGGTATGGTAAGCTGCAACCTTATTCATCACCTAAATGGGGAAAGTTTGATCTCTCAATCTTCATCTTGGCTCTGTTTGCTGAAGGAGTGCAAGATTCCAAGCCACAAGCCCCTCCACCACCTTGTCCCTTGTCCTACTGGTATCCTGTATTGGAAAGGAAGACTTGGATTTAATTTCCAACTAGAACCATTGGGGAGAAGTGGGGGGGGGGGCAGAACTTGAAAGTGAAAAACTTTTTAAAGTACTAAACTCTAGATATTAACACTCCTGATTTACTGGACTTCCACTCTGTGTATGTATCGTGAATGAAGAACGTGGAGATCATTCCACTTGGCAACCCACTGGCTCACTGCTCCTCAAACATGGCCCATGAGCAGCAGAACTTTCTTGCTCCCAGCAAAATGACTCTCTAGGTAGTTCAGGGAACAGATCACTAATTAGATTCTCTCTTCACATTCCTTGTAAAGTTGAAGGGGGCCCACCAAGCAGTTAGATCCACACAGGAAAATACATGAGACGTGTTTTTATGATGTGCCTCTCAAGTCCAGCTGTTTTATTATTTATTGTTTTAGTCTGGATTTTCTGACTGGTTGAATTTAACTGGATGGGACAGACTAAATGAGTGACAAAGATGCATCATTTACTCTGGGAACCCTGCCTGTATAACTGTTTAATAATTTAATTTGTAGATTGTTAAATTATTTAAATCCCAGGAAGGGTAGAAGGTTCTGAAACTTTTGCTTCCACTGGGCTTTTTAACCCAAAGAATCAAATGAGAATTTTGTAAGACAAACGATAGTGACTTTGTGAGTTTTTCTGTTGCTTCATTCAGCAAGGTTTTAAAAGTTCAGACATTGCCACAGTTGGTAGGTATCAAATACTGGTAATAAGAAGAAAGCCCACATGCCTGTTAGGTAGAAATGGATAGGAGGTCTGTAAGTCTGTCTATCGCTGTTCCATTTCTATTTCTTGACTAGTTGCAGGGCATCCGTATGGGGAGGGCAGCTATACTGACAAAATGAAAAAAAAAGAAAAATAGTTGCTTTCATTTATTTACACAATTTGCCATGGGAATTCCAGCAAGCAAGTACAATAATAACGAATAAGCAAATTATTCTCTACATCTCATTTCCATTTCCTCTAAAGAAATTTCACAGAGGAGTGTGTTCCCTACTATCCTAAAATCATAAAGCAGTAAAGCATCCATTTCTGGTGGATTCCTTGCCACCTTTTATTTTTTTTATGGGACAATGGCACTTTGCTTTGACAGATGTGATTTAGGTATCCTGGCACAATTGCAAATCAGATTCAGACCAACTAGTTGTAAACCAAGTAGCCAGATGATAGAATGTGTTATTAAGTATTTATAAAGTAATCTTGGAGACTATGCAGCTGGTCCCCTGCTCCTTAATAGATGTTAGAGTTGCCAATATAGTTCCCTGATTGATTACATGAATTTCCCTGTTACAGTGTATATTAGAAAACAGGATTCTAATCACCTAGTGCTTTTCCTCAGAAAAACTGTCATTCTAGAATAAAAGCAGTGCCTATTTTCATACTGACAGCAGAAATAGCATTTGTTCTAGAGAAACTCTAAACAGATATATATTCAAATATAGATTATATTCCAGAATTACTTAATTAGAGCTGCCTCATTAGGATTTTTGTTTGAAACAAATCATGCTATCAGTAAATCACTAGGTGTAAGTTGTACATCTAGGTATTCTTTAATATGTTAGGAAGAAATCTTTGGGCTTTTCCCCAAATATGTCAGCTTGTTTTCCCTGACATACTGCATAAACTTGAATGAATGAACAGACTTACATAAGGGTTTTCAGATAAATTTACTTTGAAGCTGAGAATATATCCAAAACTTGTTAGTTCAAAGCTGAACAGTCTTGGAAAGTTCTAGTGACTATAAATAGAATTTCTAAATTGAAAATGTCATTTCAACCTTCTCTTCCACCTCACTGCTGTGATTCTAATAATTGCTCTTGTTGCCTTAATTTCCTTTAGAACAGCATGACCATTTCCAAGGATTATTGGGTACTGGGTGATCTTTTTCAGTTATATTCAGTAGCGTCATATGAGGATTAGCTGGTAGGGAAAGAAGTGTATTTATAATATGAATAGCTTTGCATTAGGTGACCTTTAAAACCACTAGTTGACTTCATAAGACACCAACGCCTCCAGTAGCAATGTTATTCTTGAAGCCACTTCAAGGTTCATTCCAGTGGTCATCTTCCATTGCACTCATTGATATTATATAATCTCTACCCAGTAATGTCAAGGTGGGTGGTCTACAACAACAATTATTAATTATTCCAACATATTTCTATGCATCTTTAAATACAGATATGAAATTCAGGATCTTGATTGGGACCATAAAAATAATCAAGTCAAACCACTTCATTTGGCAAAGTAGCAAGCGAAGATAAATAACTTTCTCAAAACCACAGGGCTATTTGGTTGCAGAATCCATAATACAACAGGAGTCTCCTATGTCTCAGATCAGTGCCAGACAGGCCACAGTTGATGGCTTTGACTGACACTTACAGAATAAATTGTTCTGGAAACATTCTGCTACCATGACTATAGCATCAGCCTGAGTTTACAGTAAAAACAAGCACACACACAAATTTTTAAATCACAGAGAAACAAGAATAGAAATATTCATCATTTATTTCTTGTCAGCCCACATTTTTATTCTAGAAATACAGAAATGTTCATTAATAATTCCTATACACCAACTAAACCCCCCCAAAAACCCCAGACCAAACAGCTGGTATTTAAGTCTGTTGCTATGTATCTCTAAATCAGAAATGAGGACTCTCGAGTTGACTAACATAAAAATAATTTGTCAGAAAAGTCTGAGCCCTATTACTCCATCTAGAGAGGAGGCCACAGTGTCACATATCTATGGAAAAGATACAAATAAAATATCACACAGGAATAAGACATATTCATCTCTCCTTCCTCACAACCACACCAAGTCAATCAAGAATTTCTTCTTCAGGTATATTTTCAGAGGATTTTAAGAACCTGCAGCATGAGAATAGGAGGACCAAGCAGAGTTGAATAATTCATTTCAATAAAATCTACATACCCACTAATTCTCAGCAATGTCTACGGGATCATTTGTATTTCCGAGTGCTCTAAGTTCATGTGACAGTAATACAATACGCACTTTCTTATGGTGGCCTCATCTCTTTTGAATTCTCTTGGCCTATGCTCTCAGGCACAATGCCAATATCTGCATCTTTTTTTAAAATGAACTTCCCTTTGTCCCATTTCTTAAACGATGACTTAACCCATTAGTTTATTGCAAATATCAACACCATCGAGCATTCTCTTCATCAACCCAATTCTTTAGCTCCAAATACATCTGTTTGCATCTGAAAATACAGCTGCTGCCTCCCATTGCTGCCCTGGGTGTCCTGTCACTCTCCTCTCTCTGCCGTGTCCCCATCTTCACCTTCATTCATTCATCAATATTTCTCTTCAATCACTCCATGGGTTCTTTCCCCTCAGCCCAAAACCTGTTCTAAATGGAACAAAATGTTTACTTGACCCTAAAGCTTTTTTAGGTTCTTTTCCTGACTTTTCCAGGCAAACTGAATACCACAAAAAGGTATATTAGAATGCCTCACGTCAGGGACAAGTGTTCAAAATAAATTATATTTTAAAGGCAAATACGAAACAATATAGCCAGCATGATTCCAATTTGTGAAAATGTATGTATGTCATAAAAGAGTGTGTACATACACGTTTAAACAAAAAGAGGCAGAATGGTTTCTCTGGGTAATAAAATTATGTATGATTTTTGTGTGTATTTTCTAAATTTTCAGAATTTTCTCCCATGAATATATATTGCTTTTTCAATGGAAAAACCTCAAAATGAAGGTTATGGATGGTTTTACTGTACAAACTTCTGTGCTCTGTTTTGTTTCATGAAGCAACAGGAATTTCCAGGGTACTTTCCTTTAGCGCTGGAATCCCAGGTCCGGCCCTTCTCATTCACCTCTCTCTCTTCTTTTCACCAAGTGGGGATGTCCCCAACTGTGCAGTTGGGGACGTCCCAACTGCTCCTGTCACTCCTCACTGACCTGTAGAGAACACCAGAATTCTTTGTATCTTCAGCTGTCTCTTCTATCCATTCTAAACATCTATTTCCAGCCCTGGACTGTGGCTACTCCTCTTGAATGCTGCAGCCTCGCATCAAATTCAGCATCCCCAAAACCAAGCCAATCAATCGTCTCTTCCCCCAGTCAGTTCTCTTCTTAACCTCCCCTGCTTGTGCCAATGATATCATGCATCTCCCAAAGATTTTCACTGATGCCTGTCTCCCTTTTCCCTGTGCATTTAGCCAAGCGTTATGTATTTTCTGCTTTTTTTTCAGAATAGTCTCTTATGCCTTTCTTTCTGTACTGCTGCTGCTGTCTCAACATGGGCCCTATCACTTTGTGCTTAGACTACTGAAATCGCCTCCTCACCATTCTCACCACCGTACCCTCTGCTCACTGCCTCCCGAATATAAGCTGTTTCTTTCCTTGAGCTCCACATCACCTGAAAGTTGGTGACATTTCCTGCAACATCACCTGAAGCTGGTTAAGAATGCAAAAGCAATCCTTGTCACCAAAACATTTGTACCCCCATAATATTCTAAAATTTTTTTAAAAAGAAAAAATCCAAAATATATATATATATATTCTATAATTTTTTTAAAAAAGTAATGCCAGCAGAGACTGAAGGCTCATATCATGGCTTAATTCTAAATTTACAATGGAATTATCTTTTTGTTTTTGAGCAGTGTTACAACCTCTAATGGAAAGGGAAGGAAACAAAGCAACCTATTCAGATGACCCTAACTAACATGTACTAGAAAGTATTCTTGTTCCCAGATGAAATGCAAAAAAAGTTTCATATATCATTTATCCAGGCTTTATTCCAAAATTTTCTGTAATATGTATATATATATATATAATGTCCCGACTTATATTTTTGGTTACAAAGAACTAAATGTGTTTTTTCTTGTTGTTCTTTATTGTGTTTAGTCTTCTTACTGACGATGATCAAGATAGCCAGGACCACAAAAATGTCACTCAATCATAAGTGACAATTTGCCTAATTTACTATAGTTCATATTCATAAGCATGCTCTGAAAGAAACATGCATCCTAAAATGTGCACATTTCTGAGATGGTTTTGGGGGAACAATCTTTTAGACACACGATGAAATCATTCCTACCATGGAGAATGAGCCTGAAGCCAGTTCTACCTAGCAAGAGCCAATGTGGTTATGATTGAAAGATATGGTTAATCTGATACACAATGGTTTCTTAAGAGGGAAAAAAAAAGTAACTCCTTGATTCACTGGAATTATTTTATTCATTCATCAATTCAACAGAGACAGTACCATTAAATATCAAATACATACTCTTCAAAAAAGAATGCAGAATCAGGCTCCACTCCATCCTGTGGTATCAGCGTCTACGTTGTAACAAGGCCACCATGTGACTCAGATGTTCACCAAGGTTTGCAAAGCACTGGCTTATTTGTCCAAGGACGCCCCTCATCCAAAGGGCCCTTTCTTTGGTAGCCAAACCCTCCCAGCCCAGACCCATCTTTTCCTGGGGCTGTTTCTCTCCAGCTCACCTGCTCTCGTCCTTTCAGACGCTTGTTGCAAGTTTTCTCTCATTTTGGTGCTTAACTGTCTATTTATCTTTTCTCAGAATGTGTCAGCCTTCCCCAGCCAGATTGTAATTGCCGGAGCAAAGGCTTGATTTGCTTCCCCCCATATACCTGGATAGATGATAAATGTTTATGGATCAAATATATTGGTTCAGTACTTTCTCGGCTGAAATTCATTAAAGTGTTTTCACATTTTAGAAATATTTGCTTTTATTGCTACCATAGCCTCCTGTCTTTTTTAAGCTTATTCTGTGCCTCAGAAGAATTCAAATATGTATTTTTCTCCCTACATAAAGTGATGGAAACATTTTTACT